CCTCAGAGTACCACCGGAGTAGTACCATATAGTCTTAGAGAAGGCCGGGTAGAAAACTAAGACTTTTCTCTCTGCCAGCTGATAGCTAGTCCCCCATCCACACCCCACACACAGTGCCGGTGGAGACTACAGGAGTAACCTGGAATTCCCTCCCCTCAGCAGTAATTAGGTTCCCCTTCCCCCCTCCACTGGGGTAGGTCAGAAGAGGCCTAGTGGAGAATTAGACCTGTCACCATCACCCAGCAATATTGAGATCACCCCCACCACTGTGTCAGTGGACCACATAGGAAGCCAGAACTCCTACCTCAATCCAGCAGTAATGAGGATCTCCCCTCCCTGGGTGTCAGTGGAAGTTAAGTGGGGAACCTGGCCATGAGACAGCACTGCCCACTTCGCTGACAGAGCTGTGTCACAAAACAGCCAGCTAAAACAGAAAGTTTAAATAAGATTCATAGTCTCATAACGTTATATGACAATATCCAGGCTTCAATCAAAAATCATACCAAGAACCAGGATGGTCTCAAACTGAATGAATAGAAGATAATAGACACTAACATCAACAAGCTATTAGAAGCACAGTTAAAATAAATGAAAAATAGAAAGTCTCAACAAAGAAATGACAGATATGAAGAAGAATTTAATGGAAATTTTAGAACTGAAAATATAATAAATGAAAAGCTCAGTAGATGGGCCCAGCAACAGAGTCAGGTAGAGATGGGGATACAGAAGAATGAATCAGTCAACTAGAAGATAGAACAATAAAAATTAACCTGAACAGCAGAGAGAGAATAGACTTAAAGATAATGAAGAGAGCATCAGGGACCTGTAGGACTATGACAGAAGATCCTGTTATCTGAGTCCCAGAAGGAGAGGAAAAAGAGGTTGGGCCTGGAAATTACTTGAAAAAATAATGTTGAAGACTTCCCAAATTTGGCAAGAGAAGTAAAGCTGAAAAAACTACAGATTGAAGAAGCTGAGTTAAACCCAAACGGGATAAATCTAAGGAAATTCATACTAAAATGCACCATAATTAAACTTGTAAAAACTAAAGACAAAAAGTCTCAAAAGCATCCAGAGAAAAATTGTACCCTGTCTATAAGGGGAAAAAAATTAGAATGATAAATTTCCCATCAGAACTACTGTTGGCGAGAGGAAGTGACATAATATTTTTCAAGGGCTGAGAGAAAAAAACTGTCAACCCAGAGTCTGCTGGCTAACGAAGGAATGAAGCAAAACATTCTCAGGTGAAGGAAAACTTAGAGAACTTGTTGTCAGCAGACCTACCCTAAAAGAACCACTAAAAGAAGTTCTATTAACAGGAAGGAAAAGATAGAAGGAACCTTGGAACATCAGGAAGAGAGAGCATGGCAAGAAAAAAATAATGGCTGAATACACTAGGCTTCACTTCTCCTCTTGAGTTTTCTTAATTATGTTTGATAGTTGATGCAGAAATTACTTCACTATCTGACGTGTTTCTAAATGAAAATATTCATGGCAATTATAAACGGGAGGGTAAAGGGGCATAAAGTGAGGTAGAGTTTCTATATTTCACTCAAACTGGTAAAATGACAACATCAGTAGACTGTGATAAGTTATATACATACAGTATAATACCAGGGGCAACCACTGAAAACTGTTTACCAAATGATACACTCAAAAAATGATAGATAAATAAAAATGGAATTTGAGAAAATGTTCATGTAACCCATAGAAGGAAGGAAAAATAAAACAGGGAAGCAAAAAACAGAGAAAATAAACAGAAAACAAAAAATAAAATGGCAGACTTAAACTCTAACATATCAATCATTACATGAAATATAAATGGTCTAAATATACCAATTAAAAATTGACAGAGTGGCTTAAAAAACATAACCCACCTATATGTTGTAAAAGAAACTTCAAATATAACAATTTAGGCTGGTAGAAAGTAATAGGATGAGAAAAGTTAGATTGTGCAAATATTAATCAAAGGAAAGCCAGAGTGGCTACAATAATATTAGATAAGGTAGACTTCGGAGCAAAGAAAATTACCAGAGACAGGGGTACATGATGTAACAATAAAAGAGTCACTCTGCTGAGAAGACATAGCAGTCCTAAATGTGTGTGCAGCAAACCACAGAACAGAAATAATGTGAAGCAAGGCTGACAGAACTGAAAGAAGAAATAGACAAATGCACAATCATAGATGGAGACTTCACCCGTCTCTCAACAACTGAGAGAACTGACAAAAAGTGAGCAAGTATATAGAAGACCTCAACAACACCGTCAACCAACAGCATCTGATTGACATTTATAAAACACTCCACTCAACAACATCAGAATATTCTTTTCACGTGCCCATGGAACAAATCCCAAGGTAGACTGTATATTGGGCCGTGAAACAACCGTCAGGAAATTTAAAAGCATGTACAGTATGTTCTCCAACTACAGTGGCATCAAACTTGAAATCATTAACAGAACAATAACAGGAAAATCTCCAAACACTTGGAAAGGTTACATACTGTGTAATTCCGTTTGTATAACATATTCAAAATGACATTTTTGGTAGTGAAGAACAGATTAGTTATTGCCAGGGGTTAAGGAGGGGATGGAGTAGGAAGGAAGTGGGTGTGGTTCGTGTAACAGGGCAACATGGGGGATCCTTGTGGTAATGAAAATATCTGTCTCTTACCCATGTCAGTGTCGGTATCCTGGTTGTAATATATTTTGCAATATTTTTGTTTTTAATGTTTATAATATGTTTTGCATTGGGAGAATCTGGGTAAGGAGTACATAGAATCTCTTTTTATTATTTCTTAAAATTTCGTGTGAATCTACAATTATCTTTAAATAAAAAGTTTAATTAAAAAAAATAGAGATCGGGGCAGCCCCGTGGCCAAGTGGTTCAAGTTCCACGCTTTCTCCTTTGGCAGCCCGGGTTCATGGGTTTGGATCCTGGGCGTGGACCTGCTCCACTCATCCGCCTCTCTGTGGAGGCATCCCACATAGAAAATAGTGGAAGATTGGCACAGATGTTAGCTCAGGGTGAGTTTTCCTCACCAAAAAACAAAACAAACAAAGGGAGATCAGTAAGTGTTACAGAAGTGTTTATAGCAAAGGAACACTAAACTGAGACTTTCTCCTTTACACAGAGAATTGACTTGAAAATAAATAACTTTCTCACTAAAACAAAACAACAAAAAATCTACACCAAGATAGCATTTTTCACCTTTCAGATTAGCAAAGTTCATAAAGTTTGATACTCTATTTGAGAGGGTATGAGGGAAACAGGCACTCCATACACTGTTGGTGCCGTCCACGGGGAGCAGTTTGGTGGTGGGTTTCAAAATTAGAAGTGCGGGGGCTGGCCCCGTGGCCGAGTGGTTAAGTTCGCGTGCTCTGCTGCAGGCGGCCCAGTGTTTCGTTGGTTCGAATCCTGGGCGTGGACATGGCACTGCTCATCAAACCACGCTGAGGCAGCGTCCCACATACCACGGCTAGAAGGACCCACAACGAAGAATATACAACTATGTACCGGGGGGCTTTGGGGAGAAAAAGGAAAAAAATAAAATCTTTAAAAAAAAAAAAATTAGAAGTGCGTACTGCAGTTCCTCTTTTGACTATTTTGTCCTACAGATCTGCTTTCACAAATGCAGCATGACATGTGTTCAGTGTTATTCACTGCAGCACTGACTGTAATAGCAAAAGATTGGAAACAGCCGAAATATCCTTTAAGTAGGGGACTAGTTAAATTATTGTATATCAGGAAAATGGACTTCTGTGAATCCATGAAAACAAAAAAAATGAAGAAGCTCTTTACTTACCAATAGGAGTATTTTTAAAGGTATTTTCAGTGCAAAAAAGCAAGATGGAGAACATTGTATATGCATTTTGTGTGTGTGTATACACACATATATAAAAATTTAATTGTATGTACAGAGAACATTTTTGGATTGATACTTAAGAAATTCCTTTCTGGGAGGGGAACTGAGTAGCTGGAGACGAGAGATATGGAAGGAAGAATTTTGGTATATCTTTTGAATTTTTACTTATGTTAATGTATTACTGAGTCAGAAAAATAAATTTAAAAATATTATAAGTGATTGAGGCAATCTTGTGGTAATGGCATAAAAACTAATTTGTTACTCATATGTTTAGCCAGTGGTAACTGATATTGACAGCTGAGATATGTTCAGCTCACCTGGTGCAGAGCTTTGTTTCTATAATTTTCTACTTTGTCAGATATTCAGATTTTATTATTTAAAAGCATATGCATAAGTAGTTTCTCCGAGTGGAGAGGTGCAAACAATATTTAAATTTTGTTTCTTTTTTTCTTTCCAGTATTTCTTTAATTTTCTATGATGAACACAAGTTGGTGGCTTCTGTGTATTGCACAAGTCCAGGGAATATCATCCAATGCAATGACCCTGATATTAGCATGTATTATATTTATAATCGGGAAAAAAATATTTAAAAATCTTTGCACAGATTAGTGTGTATTTTTCAATGCATTCGAAGTGTAGTTAAGTTCTGCATTTTTATATTTTTGTTCTGAGCTGTGATAGGTGCCAATAATTAGGAAACCAGTTTTGATGAGTAAATGTATGACATACCTAATTAATCATTTTATCAAAGTAACACTACTGTTTTAACTCTTCCCCAAATCATTTCCAGTCTTGATTTTTGCCACTTGGTTTTTACTCTCTGGTGGTGTTGTCTCCCCACAGCCTTTATAATTTATCGTTAGCACCTAGTAGCCTAACAAAAGATGCATACTGCACAGCAGTTGATTTCTTTCCTAATTAACTCCTACTAATTAGAGATCCTCAAATACTTAAGAAACAATACCAGTGTGAACAGAGCAGCTCTAACTAATAATTCTGGCTCAAGTATTGGTTGATAACATGCAAGACACTTTTTCCCCATGTTTTTGCAAAGTGAGAAATTTGAATCTTTTTCAGTAGTGAATTTTTGAGTTTTGTTTAATTGATCAGTATTATGTGACTCTTCATTGCTTCTAGGTAAATCTTACAAACCATTGCGGTTTCATGGGAGGACTACAAAAAAACAAAAGCACTGGACTGACCACGCCATATTTTGCTACCTCTACAGTAGAAGTAGTATTTCATGTATCGACAAGAATGCCTTCTGATTCTGATGACTCTCTGACCAAAAAAGTAAGTGCTGAGAAAAAAAGTTCTCAGAATTTTGAAATCCTAGTCATTAAGAAAATTAATACATATATAAGGCAGTAATCTAAATCATCAAGCACTATTTCTGAGTGCTCTTCACCCAATGCTGTCTTCAGAAACAGGATTGTTGTAGAGCAAACTGTTTTCCTTAATGATACAATTGAAGGTTATAGTCTTAACAAAGGATTTGTCTTCAAGAAAACAGGGATGTGATAAATTGAAAAACTTCTGCGTATTTTCAAATTGGTGAAATTATATTTCAAGCCCCTTCACACATGGATAGATGTAATGTTTATATTGGTTGAGGGAGAGGAAAAAGAAATGTAAATTATTATAAAGCACTTAAAATATCACATGCTATATTGTAAATTTTCGCTAAAACTAATATAGCAGATAAAATAAGCCTTAATTAAAGTTTGCTACCTTAGAATTTATGAGAGATATAGTGGAACAGTTTTGATGGCCCACATCTTTTAAAATCTACACCACCATTTTGCTCTAGCTGGCGCCAGCATTCAAAAACTGCTCTGGTGACCACAGAGATACCTCAGAGCACCGTTGTATGGTTTTGTTAGGGAGAAACATTTTTAAGAGTAAAATCTTGGCCAACTCTTCTTTTCTTTACCTTCTCCTCCTTCTCCTTCTCCTCATCTTCCTCTTCCTCCTCCTCAGTTTATTCAAAACTGCTGGTGAATGTAACCAACTTAATATCTTAGGTCATTTGACTTGATAGGCTGTTGCCTGATATCAAAGCTCTTCACGCTTCATTAACAAGCTATGATATCAGTGTTATTCTCACACTGTTTTAAAAAGGAACTTCAAAACTCATCTCAAATATTTTATAAGATTAATTTAATACCCTGATGTCTTTTGTTTACATTTTAGAATACTGTTGCAAACTACCTATTAAGATGAATATGGTTAGTAAAACTAATATATAGATGCTAGTTAGACTGAATGAGAAGTAAAGGTGGGGGTAATTGATAAATGTAGGAAAGTAAATTCAGTAACAGGTTTGCTATAAAATTTCTTGTCATGTAGTTTTTAAAAGTACGAAATGAGCCGTGAATACTGACAAGAAGATGGTGAAGAGTTAGATTGGAGTAAAATGTCGTTAAAACTTCAATTAAGCACTTTCTTCCATCATCTCATTTTAAATCTGTATGAAAATAAGCCATACCCAAATTAGAGACAATTATGAATATAGTGCAAAAAGATAAATAATTTTAATCTTTAAGAACTTGGCAGTGACTCATGTTTATCATTTTCGTGGCTCCATGGATACAACTTTTAAATCTTAGAGCAGAGTATAAAATTAATAGTATCGTAGATTGCAAACGTAAGAACAGAACAAAGTGCATCATTTTTTATTAAAATGCTTTTTTTTTTAAAAGAAAATTGTCAGGATATTTTCACTTCACTGTATTAAATTTGGTAATTATATAGTACTTGAAATTTTATTCCTGCGACCTTTGTAGAAATGTCAAATAAGTAAGATTTCTTATTTCCTTCAAAACAAAATTAAGGGTTTGTCCTTAATTATTTAAGAAGAATCTGAAATGGATATTTAACAATCCATTATCATAACAAAATTAGTTTTGGAGATGATAACACTAAGAATTATTAAATGATTGAGTTCTAATTCAAACTATACCCTTAAATAGTGAAATTTTTAAGTACTAGGTTTATTAGAGAATTTTGAGAGATTAAACCTTGAACACTAATAGTTTGTTTCATCTATAAATACAGAGTTTTTTTATTGTGGTAAAATAACATAAAACTTACCATTTTAACCATTTTTAAATGTACAGTTAATTGGCATAAAGTTCATTTACAGTGTTGTACAACCATCACAAGTATCCATTTCTAGAACTTTTTCATTTAGTTCAAAATATTTTTTTGAGAATTCTTTGATCTGTATGTTATTTAGAAGTGTATTGTTTAATCTCCAAGTATTTTGAGGTTTTCCAGCAATCTTTCTCTTATTGATTTCTAGTTTAATTCCGTGTGGTCTGAAAGCAGACATTGTATAATTTCCATTCTTTTAAATTTGTTAAGCTGTGTTTTATGGCCCAAATGTAGTCTTTCTGGTGAATGTTCCATGTGAGTGGGATAAAAATGTGTAATCTGCTATTGAAGTAGTCTGCAAATGTTTGTTACATCCAGTTGATTGATGGAGCTTTTGAGTTTAACTATATTCTTAGCAATTTTCTGGCTGCTGGATCTCTCCATTTCTAATAGAGAGATGCTAAAGTCTCCAACCATAACAGTGGGTTCTTGTATTTTTCCTTGGAGTTCTCTCAGTTTTTGCCTTATGTATTTTGACACTCTGTTGTTAGGCACACGCTCATTAAGGATTGGTTACGTCTTCTTGAATACTGACCCCTTTATCTTTAAGTAATGCCCCTCTTTATCCCTGAAACTTTCCTTGCTCTGAAGTCTTCTCTGTCTAAAGTTAATATAGCTACTCCCACTGTCTTTTGTATATCTTTCTCCATCCCTTAACTTTTAATCTGTAGCTGTCTTTATATTTAAAGTGGGTTTCTTGTAAACAACGTGTACTTGGGTCTTGTTTTTTTGATCCATTCTGACAGTCTCAGTCTTTTAATTGATGTTTAAAGTGGTCTTTGATATCATTGAATTAATATCTACTGTATTTGTTACTGTTTTCTATTTTTTATCCTTGTTCTTTGTTCTATTTTTCACTTTTTCTGCCTTTTGTGTTTATAATTGAGCTTTTTTTTTTTTTAAAGACTGGCACCTGAGCTAACATCTGTTGCCAATCTTTTTCTTCTTCTTCCTCCTCTTCTTCCTCCTCCTCCTCCTCTCCTCCTCCTCCTCCTCTCCTCCTCCTCCTCCTCCTCCTCTCCTCCTCCTCTCCTCCTCCTCCTCCTCCTCCCCCTCCTCCTCCTCCTCCTCTCCTCCTCCTCTCCTCCTCCTCCTCTCCTCCTCCTCCTCCTCTCCTCCTCCTCCTCTCCTCCTCCTCCTCTCCTCCTCCTCTCCTCCTCCTCTCCTCCTCCCCCTCCTCCTCCCCTCCTCCTCCTTCTTTTTTTCTTCTTCTCCTCCTTCTCCTTCTCCCCAAAGCCCCCCAGCACATACTTGTGTATTCTAGTTGTAAGTGCTTCTGGTTGTGCTGTGTGGGATGCCACCTCAGCATGGCCTGATGAGTGGTGCCATGTCCACGCCAGGATCCAAACCAGCGAAACCCTGGGCTGCCAAAGCAGTGCGCTCAAACTTAACCATTTGGCCATGGGGCCGGCCCCGATAATTGATCATTTTATATGATTTCATTTTCTCTCCTTTCTTAGCATATCAATTATACTTCCTTTCTTTTTTAACTTTTTTTAGTCATCACCCTAGCGTTTGTACTATACATTTACAACTAATCCACTTCTGCTTTCAAATAACACTATACTGCTTCATGGGTACTGCAAGTACCTTATAATAACACAGTATGCACAGTTCTTCCCTCCTATCGCTTGTATGATTGCTGTCATTCATTTCACTTATACATAAGCATACATAATCAAATGCATTGTTGCAATTATTGATTCTCACTTCCTTTCTTTATATAGATCTGAATTTCTAACCTATATCATTTTACTTTTCTCTTAAAGAACTTTTTAACATTTTATGTAAGGCAGGTCTACTGGCAACAAATGCCCTCAATTTTTGTTTGTCTGAGACAGTCTTTATTCTCCTATACTTTTGAAGGATAATTTTGCAGGGTACAGAGTTCTAGGTTGGTAGTTTTTTCTCTCAGCACTTTAAATATTTCACCCCACTCTCTTCTTGCCTGCGTAGTTTCTGAGAAGTCAGATGTAATTTTTATCTTTGCTCCTCTATAAATAAAATGGTTTTTTCCCTCTGTCTTCTCTCAAGATTTTTCTTATCTGTGATTTTATGAAGTTCAAACATGATGTGCCTAGGTGTAGTTTTCTGGGCATTTATCCTGCTTAGTGTTCTCTGAGCTTCCTGGATCTGTGGTTTGGTACCTGACATTAATTTGGGGGCAATTCTCAGTCATTACTGCTTCAAATATTGCTTCTGTTTCTTTCTCTCTTTGTTCTCCCTCTTATATGTGTGTTAAACTTTTTGGTAGTTGTCCCACAGTTCTTGGATATTTTGTTCTGGTTTTTTTTTTGGTTTTTTTTTTTTTTGTCTTTTTTTTCTCTTTGCTTTTCAGTTTTAGAAGTTTCTGTTGTTATGTTTTTAAGCCCAGAGATTCTTCAGTCATGTCCAGTTTATTAATGAGCCCATGAAGGATATTCTTCATTTCAGTTACATTGTTTTCCATTTATAGCATTTCTTTTTTATTCTTTTTGAGAATTTCCATCTTACATTATCCATCTGTTCTTGCATATTGTCTAGTTTTTCTGTTAGAGCTCTTAGCATATTAATCATAGTTGTAATTCCAACATCTCTGCCATATCTGACTCTGGTTCTGATGCTTCTTCAGTCTCTCAGACTTGTCCACACTGGGTCTCCAGAAATTTCTCAGTTACAGTTCAGGTTTTCCTACCCTGGCACTGGTTCCTACAGAGGTTTCTCCTCCGTTAAGTTATTATTCTCTGTATTTGCCTGTCTGCCTAATTTTGGTGGCAGCGGTTTGCCCTGTAACCTCACTTATCTGACCTAAGAAGAGTAGTTGATTTTTCAGTTTGTTTACCTTTTTACTTGTTGTTAGGACAGAGTGGTGACTTCTAAGCTCCTTACATGCCAGACTGGAAACTGGAAGACCCAGAACTTTATCCTTTCAAACAGAAACTCTGTACCTATTAACAGTGACTCTCCATTCCCCCTTCCACCCAGCCCCTGGTAACCTCTGATCTACTTTCTGTCTCTATGAATTTGAAGTGAGTACTGTATGATTCCATTTCTAGGTACCCCAGATAAGTGGAATCATGCAGTATTTGTCTTTTTGTGTCCGTCTTATTTCACTTAGCATAGTGTTTTCAAGATTCATCCATGTTGTAGTATGTATC